AGCTGCAGGCACAGTGGAACAATTCATCTTGAAAATTTACAGCAGAAACAAACATTGCATTATTAGATTGCCATACATGGTAAAGTGACAGTGTTCCTGCAAAGGGTCCACTCATCACTCTCATACTCATCTTACCAGCACTCTCCTACAGCCAGTGACAATATCTGGCACGTATGGGTATGGAGGAGCATGTGATCTCTTCCTGTTAGAGAGTGCTTGGGTCTAGCAGCCCATCACTAGATCCAAACACTGTCATATAACTGGGGGCGTAATGGCACTACTCTCTCATGTCACTGACACCAATTGTTTTGGGCTGTGAAGGAGGAAAAAGTGGTGAGGGGTCTCAGGGAAGATAGGTATAAAGCGCCGAGAGGGCCTTTCCAGAGACACTGTTTCACTTTTCCCTTCATGGACAAGAGGACGGAGTCTTTTTAGGTCATGCTCTCAAAAACTTACTTTATCCCCATCCCAGAACACCAGCTCTGTTTTTACACTACAGATTAGAAGACTACCAAGTCACTGCTGAGAGGGGGGAGCAGGGGGAGCTAAAGTCTTGAGTAGGGAGGAGTGGAGTTATTTCAACTAAATTGATGTCACAGCCAACAAAATGTTACTAATGAGAAAATTCTTAAGTGCTGATTGAGCTGCTTAGAAGACAATTTCTTGAAAATAAATGATCTGATCTAATGTTTTGTTTAGTTTATTTAAGGTGGTGCTAATTGCAGAAGAGACAAATTACAAGTTTCATTTTTTGGTAGGGGGTGTATTTAGGGTAGATATGTTTCTTTTATTTACTGTTCATTTATTTGTCTTTTTTTCCTTTTTTGTGTATTTGAGTATTATATCGAGTATTGTCTTTTTTTGTACTGTTAATTTTTTTCATTTCTGTGAAACAAAATGCTAAATAATGGGGCTAATGTGTGGCCATGTTTTGGCATAAAAATGGGTCCAGGATAGCTTCCATAATGCTCAGGAACCATTTAAAGACCATGGCGTCTAAAACAAATTCTTCTCGTCTCTTATGCATTCTGCCAAAATTAGGACATTTGAAATAATCCTAACAACTTTCTGTAAAATATTTTTTTTAAACGCAAAAACACTACTGATAACAACTTCTGAAAACCTTAAGAATGAATTGCTCCACAGTGCATGTGGCTACAGAGGTCAGCAAGGTAAGCTTGTTTAAAAGCTTATTTACTGCTTGTTAGGAATATATACAGTAAATGTTTGGATTTCTAAAGCCAGGTTTACAGGTTCACTTTAAGGTAATGCTATAATGCCAGATATCACCAGTAAGTGACATCACTGGTGAAACTTGAAACTGCAAATCTCTATCCAAGGAAAACTAAAATCTGTGAACACTGAAGCTTCCATGTTATCACATGCAATATTCTGAAATGGCAGTTTCCATTTCTCCAAACTAAAAGACAGACTCAAGGCTTAACTGTCCTCTGTTACCTCTTTCCTATGAAGAGCAAAAGTTCAGAGAAGCAGCACTGAGAAAGCAGGAGGCAGCAGCATTGAAAGCTGTAAACTGCACATGCTGGGGTATAAAAATTAACAAATAGTTTACCAAGGAAGATTTACTTTATTTTGCTCAATGTCTTTATTTAAAATCTTATCTATCCTCTAAGAGCCTGATTAACTGTAACCCATAGCAGCCAAGAAGCTACAAGCATGTTTCCATTGTATGCTTTGGTTATCTGCATAATTGGTCTTTACACAGAGACAGATACCACGCAAGCTTAGTATCTGCAAAGGTAATAAACAACGCACATTGTACCATAGCCCATGACAACTAAACAGAAAACATCTTTTATTTCCCTGACTTGCTTCAGCTAAGTCTGCTTGCTGACTGGCTTAATGAAGTAGTGGTGTCAGTGTCACGGTCAAGCAGCGAGCTAGGCAGAAGAGGAAAAAAAGGGCTGGTAAGAGTTGTGGGCTGTACTCCCTCTGGCCAATAAGAGGCATGTGTTGTCAGAAAGGGAAAAAACTATACTAGCTGTGCTTGTAATGTGATGCAGGTCCCTTTAATAGGAGGTCCCACCCAGGTGTTGTTGGGGAGCACTATATGCTCATCATTTGTGTTTTTTCTAACTAGTGTAGAAGGCCCCTTGGGGACATATCAAAGGGGGAGGGCAGACCTGGGGAAAAAAAAAATGATTTTTTTTTTCTTTGGACATTGACCATTTGCTCCATTAAGCAGTGGAGACAGTCTGGAGCACTTGCCCATTGGGAGATTGAAGAGCTAATACCTAGTGGAGAAAAGGGTGCAGCATGGATGGAAGGCTCCTACTCCAACTGCAGGTACTAAGGCTCTCCTCCCGGTAATTATGATGTAGGACCATGAAGGGTTCTGCAAACAAAGTGTGTTGTATACCCTGTGAGGAAATTAGTTATGTTGCATTGTTGAAGAAACATGTTGGTTGTGTTGCTGCAAAGTTAGACCTCTGTATGCTGAATATGTTTAGATTTTTTTTTAAGTGTTACTAAACCCACAAAAGTAAAATCAGTCTGTATATAAAGTAAAGCATGCCTGCTATACTCACTGTGGAACCTAAGGGGTTAATCCTCCACATTGTGTAAAAAGGCCATTTGATCCTGTCTTTTCTGATCCTCCCCTTCTTCTACTGTCCCCAATCCATGTGTTCATATCCATAGTTCATCCAGACAGAGGATCAGGGGTTATGCAGCCTCATAGGACAGTCAGATCAGAATGAAAACTCCTCGTACAAGCTTAAACTAGTGCTCGGCCAGACACTGATAGAAGTCACAAGACTGCTATATACTGCTGATGAGAAAAAGTATTTAGCAGCTTATATTTACTAAAATAATTTCATTTCTATGTTGTGTGTACTGTGGGAGACCAAATATAGTAAATGCAGGGTCCTGGGTTTAGTAACACTTTAAGTAAAGGCAATAGGGTTTTCTGTCTTCTGGTATAAGAAGTCTTATGGAGGATCCTCTGCAAGAAAGAGAGATGTGGGTACCTGTTGAGTGGACTAGGTGTTGTGATATAGACTAGCCTGGCTCTGACAAGTTGGCCCTTTAGGTTAGAGTGTGCAAGGGTTTCTGTGCCGGCTAGTCAGCCTTGTTTTAGTGGGATATTTTATTCCTGGTTGGGAATCTGGGGAGCTCCAACTGGACAGGACAGGAGGATGCTGAGTGGTACTGGGGCTAAAAGTAGAACTAAAGGCAAAACTTTTTTTTTTTTTCCATTTTGTATAAAGGGAGGGGAGGGTTATAACCCCTGTCATTGGGGAGAATTCCCCTCACTTTCTGTCCCATAGCCAAAACAGGAAGTGAGAGGGAATCCCTGCAAATTAAGGGAATCTCTTGTGGCCCCCTGTGTCACCAGAAATAGTGTCCCCATTGGAAATATTTCCCCTCTGTTACTGTTCTGGGGTTAGCCCAAAATGTGGGATTTTCTTTTACTTTCACTTTCAATGATACTGGTAAACAGGACAAATAGAGAGGAGCAGTAGTAGCAATAAAGCCTGACAGGTATTATAATCCATCTCTACTAAGCCTAAAATGAAAACAAGTTTGTCATTCGTTATACTTTAAAAAGAAATTCCACTTTTGTTGGGAAAATGATTCCCCTGCGGGTGATCAATGTTCATTGCAAAGATTTTAAGAAATGTTGCAGATTCCTACCTGTTTCTGCCCTGAAGAAAAAGCTGTTTGTTTCACTTCGTGTCTTTGGATACTGCATGTGAGAGGGAGTAACTATTTCATTTTAATCAGCTAGTGCATTTCAGGGTTCTGATGAAAAAAGTTGCATGGTCTGCATCCCTTTAGAAGTGGTTAACTTTTAGTGAGTATTTCATATATTTGTTGCAGTGGATGCCTAAAATCTGACTTGTATCTTAGTGCAGAGTTTCTTCACAGAAGCAGGAAAGGACATTTCTGGGGGCTTTCTGTACACCAACTGTGTACAGAACGCCTATTTGCCATGTTACATTGAATTTTACAGAAAATCATAGCACTGCAGATTGGAGAGGAAATTACATTTTTAATAACATTATATTACAATATGGCTTATGTATTAATTGTATATACTATATCTTTTTTTATTTGCTATATTTTTTTACCATGAAAGTGAAGTTTCCCTTTAAGCTATTCCCTCCAGGGACCAGAAGAAGAAGAATCCTGAGTTTGAGAATATATCTCTAGCAGCCCTGAACTGAGTTATGAGATGAACAGAGTTGCCTAGTGTTTTCTGCTCTACTGAAGGTTGCCACCATAGCATCAGGGGTGTCCAACCTGTGGCCCAAGATGGCTATGACTACGGTACACAAAATACACAAATTGTCAATCCTAAACTTTTGTAAAAACGCATTTACATTTAGTGAACACATGCGGCCGAAGTAAAATTTGAAAACTTGTGTCTCTTTACTGGATTTTTTATCTTCACGAAGAAAAATCTCCCACTCTTCACAATCCTGCCTTATTCATGTCATCAGTTTTCTGTGGTATCTATATTTGTGAACAACTATTTTCAAGGATGAAGCACATGAAAACCAAAATTAGAACCAAAATATCTGTTGAGCACCTTGAGAATTCATTAAGAATTGCTACTACATCCATCCAACCAGATATTGATGCATTAGTTTATTAACCGCCTCTCGCCATATAGTAATATGATGGACGCAAGGCGGTTCTCTTGTTCTGGGAGGACGTCATATGACGTCCTGCCATTCTAACTGCACATGCGCGGCTCCGGGAGCGCGCAGTGTGGCGATCGGCATTGTGCCATGTCCCTCGGACACAGCGGATCACCGATCCACGGAAAGAGCCGAAGATGTCGGCTCGGTCATGTGATCAGCTGTGTCCAATCACAGCTGATCACATGTAAACAGGGAAATGCCGGTTATCGGCATTTCTCTCCCCACGAGCTGTCACGCTGACAGCTCGTGAGGAGAGGACAGCCAGTAATCGGCATTCCTCGGAGGGGACATGTACACAGATCATCAGGGCACTGATGATCAGTGTGCCCTGATGATCTGTGTAGCCCCAGCAGTGCCACCTGTCAGTGTCCATCAGTGCCAGCTCTCAGTGCTCATCCATGCCACCTGCCAGTGCCCATCAGTGCCACATCAATGCCACATATCAGTGCCTACCAGTGCACATCAATGCCACATATCAGTGCCCATCTGAGCTGCCTTTCAGTGCCACCTATCAGTGCTGCCAATCAGTGCCACCTATCAGTGCCAGTCAGTGCCGCCTATCAGTGTGCATCAGTGCCACCTGTCAGTGCCCGTCAGTGCTGCCTATCAGTGCCGCCTAACAGTGCCAGTCAGTGCCACCTAACAGTGCCAGTCAGTGCCGCCTATCAGTGCCAGTCAGTGCCGCCTATCAGTGCCACCTGTCAGTGCCGCCTATCAGTGCCATATATGAGTGCTGCCTTTCAGTGCCCATCAGTGATGCCTGTCAATGCCCATCAGTGCCACCTACCAGTGCCTCCTCATCAGTGCCCATCAGTACCACCTATCAGTATCCATCAGTGCAGCCTATCAGTGCAGCCTCATTTGCGCACATCAGTGAAGGAGAAAAATCACTTATTTACAAAATTTTATAACAAAAACTAAGAAAACAATTTTTTTTTTTTCAAAATTTTCAGTGGTTTTTGGTTTGTTTAAGAAAAAATAAAAAACCCAGAGGTGATTAAATACCACCAAAATAAAGCTCTGTCACAAACAAATGATAAAACATTTCATATAGGTACATTGTTGCATGACCGAGCAATTGTCATTCAAAGTGCAACAGCACTGATAGCTGGAAATTGGCCTGGGCAGGAAGGGGGTATAAGTGCCCTGTAGGCTAGTGGTTAAAAACAGTGTCAAATATCACGCTAGTTTTATGTTGCCCTCTTTTACTTTCAGAATAAAAAAATTTGCAAAAAATGAAGTTTTATTACTCAGATAGGAACATTATCTATATCAGTGTTTCTCAACCTTTTTTCAATCAAGGCACCCTTTAAAATTATGGACAGTCCCGAGGCACTCTCTAAAATTCTGGACAATCTTGATTCACCCCATTTTAGAATGGGGTGCCTCAAGACTGTCCATAATTTTAAAGGGTGCCTCGGGACTGTCCATAATTTTAAAAGGGCACCCCATTCTAAATGTAAAAAACTATTCTAATAGTTTTATATAACACAGCAACATCTACACACATAGGACACGCACCACCAGAGGTGATTTATTCTTCCAAAGCAAATACACTTTTGCACACTGGTACTGAGTAGTATTCTAGTGTTTCCTTCTCCCTCAGTTTTCTCCATCACTGAGCTAATGTGACCCCAGCACTGAAGGCGAGGGGCAGGGGAAGGTCAAACGAGAATGCTGTGCAGGTAGCTGACATCCTTCTTCTCAACTGATGATGCCATTGGTTGTCAGGACACTGATGGCAAGAAGGTCATAAATGGTGCGCAATGAAAATCTGCGACTTTGTGTAATTAAAAGGCAGGCTTGTTCCACCCGCTGGCTTGTGTACAAGTTTTAGGCAATTTTTAGACATTTTGCCAAGGCACCCCTGAAGAAACCTCAAGGCACCCTGGTTGAGAAAGGCTGATCTATATTATGGATCGTTAACTTGTGAACTGCCCCATTTTTTCTGCTCATCAGCTATCTTTATTGTTAGTGTATTTTTTGTGTGACCCAAGACAATTCCTCTTCTTCCAATGTGGCCCAGGAAAGACAAACCGTTGGACACCCCTGGTCTTCATGATGACAGTGCCAGGAGTACAGCTAACCCAGGAAGGTAAAGGCAGACTGGGCTCCTGTTCATTGTTGCTTATGTTACGTATTGCCACCATTGTCCATGTGTTGTCATGACTGGCAGTTTAATGCCAATTGAAACAACTGCTCATTTCTTGCAATCGTTTTGTCACAATTGCTGCAATTGTACTGTAGTTCCCCAACAAAACCTCAATCGAAGGAGGTTAATAAAGAACAGCAAAAAGACATTCAAGGGAGGTAACTTTTTTCCCCCCTAACGACTCTGTAAAGATACCTGTAACTAGAGTTCTGCTTTAAATATTATGATAACCAACAATGTTCACATTTTCAGTAACTTATAACATCCAATCATAAATCATATATGATTAATTTGCCTAAATTAACAAAAAATCGGTTGCTATGGTTTAATGCACTTTGCATCATTGTTGTTTGCACTAATAAATATGCGCGAGATTCATCTAATAAACAAACAATGAAGAAAACAGCAGTATAACCTATAAAATGTAATCACAAGCAAGCCTTCATCAATCTGAAACATTATGTTGCTAATTGTTGATTGTTTGCTGTGGGTTGAATACACTGAGCCTTATTTACCAAATTAAATTGTAGCTGTCTGTATTGTACCAACAACAAATTAAATTTATAGTTTATGACCTGACCCATTGTTTTCCCACGCAGGTTTGAATCTGAATGAAACAGTCCTTGCCCCCCAAAATGTCCTGGTCCTTAGAATATTACAGCTATGAACTACACTACATTATTGCTCTTAGAACTTGATTAAAAATCTAAATGAATTTCTGGTAACCATTTATTTCTTCAGCTTCAGATACACAGTATGTCTTTGTTGCAGAAGTGTACAGAAATAATAGTAGTCTATGTTCCAAGACTCTCATCCAACTGATTTCTGCCATTGAACGCCAAAGATAAACTACAGAAGAGGATTATGGGAAACAGCATTCAAATATGCCATGAACATGTCAATTTATTACTTCCTATCTGTTTTGTTATTGGCTTCTTCATCTATTTTAATACAAAGTGAATTTTTGAATGTATTTCTAAGCATGACTGACTACCCAATGAATCAAGAGAGCCATCTTGTGGCATACCTGGGAATCTTGAACAGAGCTTTGACTGGATGCATGGAAGACAAAGGCGGGTCTCCATCAGCCAATTCAATGGCTGTAATCCCCAGGGACCAGACATCACAGCGCACATCATACGAGTAATCATACTGCTGTTCACAGGCTATGACCTATTGAAGAGATGAAAGGACGGAGTTACAGGCGTTTTGTAACATGAAGTGTGCATGTCACAGCTGTACATGTGGGAATTCAGCTTGTTTTAATCTACAGTGAACCCGCTGCTTGCTATTAGATGGTGGTATATACAGTACAAATAATATACTTACATATATAGTAACAGATAGATTTGTGGGAATCACATATGTATTATGTGTTTATATACAGTGTATATATATAGATATATATATATCTATATATATATACACACACACAGACATACACATGGTGTGTAAATATACAGTGTGTATATATATATATATATATATATATATATATATATACACAGTTGCAAGAAAAAGTATGTGAACCCCTTGGGATTACGTGGAGTTTTGCATGAATTGGGCATAAAATGTGCTCTGAACGTCATCTAAGTCACAACAATAGAAGAACACAGTCTGCAGAACATAATACTACACAAACATTAGATGTTGCCATGGTTTAATTGCACATAACATGTAAACATTAACAGTGCAGGGAGGAAAAAGTATGTGAACCTTTGGACCTAATAACTGGTTGACCCTCCTTTGGCAGCAATAACCTCAACCAAACATTTCCTGTAGTTGCAGATCAGACCTGCACAACGATCTGGAGTAATTTTGGACCACTCCTCTTCACAAAACTGTTTCAGTGTAGCAATATTCTTGGGATGTCTGGTGTGAATCGCTCTCTTAAGGTCATGCCACAGCATTTCAATCGGGTTGAGGTCAGGACTCTGACTGGGCCACTCCAGAAGGCGTATTCTGTGCTGTTGCAGCCATTGTTTTGTTGAATTACTTGTATGCTTTGGGTCATTGTCCTGTTGCATCACCCATCCTCTGCGGAGCTGCAGTTGGCGGACAGATGGTCGTACGTTTTCCTGCAAAATGTCTTGATAAACTCTGGAATTCATTTTCCCATCAATGACAACAATCCGTCCAGGCCCTGAGGCAGCAAAGCAGCCCCAAACCATGATGCTCCCTCCGCCATGTTTTACAGTGGGGATGAGGTTTTGATGTTGGTGTGCTGTGCCTTTTTTCTCCACACATAGTGTTGTGTGTTCTTCCCAAACAACTCAATCTTGGTTTCATCTGTCCACAGTATATTTTGCCAGTAGTGCTGTGGAACATCCAGGTGCTCTTTTGCAAACTTCAAACGTGCTGCAATATTCTTTTTGGACGGCAATGGCTTCCTCCGTGGTGTCCTCCCATGTACTCCGTTCTTGTTTAATGTTTTCCTTATTGTAGATGTGTCAACAAAAATGTTAGCATGTGCCAGAGATTTCTGTAGGTCTTTAGCTGACACTCTGGGATCCTTCTTTACCTCATGCAACATTCTGCGCTGTGCTCTTGCAGTCATTTATACAGGACGACCACGCCTAGGGAGAGTAGCAACAGTGCTAAACTTTCTCCATTTGTAGACAGTCTGTCTTATCGTGGACACATGATGAACATCAAGGCTTTTGGAGATACTTTTGTAACCCTTTCCAGTTTCATGCAAGTCAACAATTCTTGATCGTAGGTCTTCTGAGAGCTCTTTTCTGTGAGGCATGGTTCACGTCAGACAGTGCTTCTTTAAAAAAGTAAACCCAAAACAGGTGTGTGTTTTTTAAGGGCAGGACAGCTGTCAGCAACACATTCAATATCATCACACTGATTGGAGTCAAGGTTGGCTCACTCCTGGCTCCAATGAGCTCTGGGAGAAGTCATTAAGCTAGGGCCTCACATACTTTTTCCTCCCTGCACTGTGAATGTTTACATGTTATGTGCAATTAAACCATGGCAACATCTAATGTTTGTGTAGTATTATGTTCAGCAGACTGTGTTCTTCTATTGTTGTGACTTAGATGACGTTCAGAACACATTTTATGCCCAATTCATGCAAAACTCCACGTAATCCCAAAGGATTCACATACTTTTTCTTGCAACTGTATATATTAATTTTTAATACAGTGCTCAGCATAAATGAGTACAGCCCTTATGAAAATGTTTTAATCAATATTTCAATGAACAACTTCCAAAATGTTGGAATTCTAAAACATTTGTTTAGCTCATTACATGAAAGTAAGGTTAATTATATAACTTAGATTACAAAATCTTCATTTTTACTCAAATTAGTTGATGCAAAAATGAATACACCCCACAACAAAAATTACTACATCTAGTATATTGTATGACCTCCATGATTTGTAAGGACAGCAGCAAGTCTTCTAGGAATGGAATGAACAAGCTGGCGACATTTCAACATCTATATTTTCCATTCTTTAAGAATGACCTCTTTTAGAGCCTGGATGCTGGATGGAGAGTGATGTTCAACTTGTCTCTTCAGAATTCCCCATAGTGTTCAATTGAGTTCAGATTAGGAGACATAATTGGCCACTGAATCACTTTCACCCTGTTCTTCTTCAGAAATGCAACAGTGGCCTTAGATGTGTCTTTTGGATCAATGTCATAT